ACACACACCCACCGGGGACAGACCGGCCCACGGCACACCACCGTGTGTCCCGGGAGTGCCGGGACCGCCCGGAACCGGGGACACCTCCTTACACCAGGGACCGGAGCGATGGGGCCACGTCACACCCCCCGGGGATCAGGGACCCTCCTGACACTGGGGACCGGAGTGTCCCGTGACCGCCGGGACCATGTCACACGCACCGGGGAGCAGAGTCCCGGGACCACTGGGATCGGTGGGGTCACATCACACTCACGGGGGACCAGAGTATCCCGAGACCGGGGAAACCCCCTCACACCCACCGGGGACCGGAGAGTCCCAGGACTGCTGGGGACCAGGGACTGTCCTCACACCGGGGACCGGAGTGTCCTGTGACCTGCAGGGACCGACCAGGACTGGGGACACCCTCTCACACACACAGCAGGGGCCCGAGAGTCCCAGGACCACCGGGGTCATGTCACACCTGGGGACCAGATTACCCTCTCACCCACCGGGTACTGGAGCACCCCATCCCATAACCTCCAGGAACCGTCAGGGACCAGCACCCTGCACACTCTGTACAATGGACTGATGTCACACACACACCAGGACCAGGGCTGGCCCGAGGGTCACCCGGGCATGTGCGGGCAGAGCCCACCCTGTCCCCAGGCAGCACCCATGGGTATGAGCCCTGGGCCCCCCTGGGTGGGCAGTGGGACCCTAGTGGCACTGCCACCTCCCACCCCCAGTGCCCCAGGTTAGGGTTAGGGACTGATCACAGAATCACTGAGGCTGGAAAAGACCTCCAGGATCATCAACTCCAACCTGTGACCCATCATTACCTTGTCAGCTAGAGCAGAGCACTGAGTGCCATGTCCTGTCATTCCTTGGACACCTCCATGGATGGTGACTCCACCACCTCCCTGGGCAGCCCCTTCCATGGCCTTTGGAGAGAGATTTTGCCACTTTGCATCCCTCCATGCCTGGTAAGCAATACCTGGGGATGGCTGGAGACAAGACTCCTGTTCCTGGTGCCTCCTCCACACCTCCTCCTCCTAAGGATTGGTTGCTGGGCATCCCCTCCACACACTGGGCATTGCTTCAGCTGCCTCTGGAGAAGGAAACACCCTGTAGCAGGATGCACTGTCTTGGAATGGGGTAAACAAGACCTTGTTTGCAAGCAATCATTGGTAAATGAAGATGGAGCATCATGCTGCTTTTGGGGCTGGATAATGCTGAAATCAGTGTGACTCATCAACCCCAAAGTTAAACACCCTGACAGATGAACATGTGGTAGACCTGGTAAGACACCCAATAAAAGAACAAACAAATGATAGTACTAATCTTATCTAAGGCTGCTGAGCTAACACAGCCTGGAGACATCTGACTGACAGTCACTACATACTATAAAAGCCCAGCAAATTTTGAAGGCAGGATCTTCTTACATATCCCTTCTTGGAGTATATGTGTGAAGATTCCTCCCTGGAGTGGGGACACCCCTCAGGGCTACTCCTCAAGGCTGAGCCAAAGAGATTTGCCCATGGTCTTTGGTTTGGGTGAGCAACATAAATCTCTACTTAATAACTGGTTTAGTAGCTTTAATACAATTGCTTTAATATTGCTTCAATATTGCTGTAGAGTGCACTGTATTATAAGAGTTGTTAGAGCTCCTATACTGTGGAGTTAATAATTCTGATTAAAATCTTTTTGGCTAATCATTCTCATCATAAATCATATATATTTGTATCTCTAGTTTGCCATCCTTAATCCTGTGGGATAAAGTTGTACAAAAACTCAATTACACCTGTATAATCCTTTAAACACAAACCATTGGTAGTCTGGGGCTAAGACTGGATCCAGCCATACCTTGGCTCCTCTTCCCACCAGCTCTGCACTCCTGCCTCAGCTGATTTATCCCCCCACAGTGGCTGCCCAGGGGGAATTGTCTTCTCCTGCTGGGTCTCAGATGGCTCCAGGCCAGCCTGGAGCACAGGACAGCAGAGGCTTGAAGAAGATACATCACTTCTGTCTTCCCTGGGATTCCCCTGCTCCCTGCTCTTCACATTTCCCTAGAGGTGGAGCAAGGATGCAATTCCCTGTGGGAGCCAAAAAAGATCCTCAAATCTGTGTCTTGAGAGCCAAAAAAGTTCCTCAAACCTGTCCCAGGAGCCAAAAAAAGATCCTCAGATCTGTGTCTTGGGAGCCAAAATAATCCTCAAACCTGTGTCTCTCATGCACTGCTTCCACAGCTTGTCACATTACGTGCCCAGGCCAGTTGTCACCTGCCACCAGGTCACCTTCCTGTGCCCACCACCTCCTCCCTGTCCTCCACAGCCACACCCAAACTCTGTGTCCCTTGGCATGGTTTCAGCTTTATTGCACGTTCTGCAGTCACAGCCAGATCCATGGATGGCTCTGGCTGCAAGAAAAGGAGGGCTCTCCCATCCCTCCAAGTGCCTGACACTCCAGCACAGGCAAGACACTGTCCTGGGCCAGTGCCACCCTGAGGTGGCAGGAGAGCTCAGGGGCTGGAGGTGCCCCTCCACTCTGGATGCAGAAGAACCAGGATTGGAGGCAGGATGGGACTGCAGTGAGGGCACCCAGTCCTGGTTGAGCTCCTCCTCATAGAGGAGCCACTGCCTGGAGCATCTCAGGATGCATGGTGGTCCCTGGAGAAATCCAGTGCTAGAGCTGAGGCAGGAAATTAAGGACAGCAGTGATGAATTCTTCAAACTTATCCTGATGGACTATGTGACCTGCACCTTCGATGTACTGGATCTGTGCCTTGGGGAAGAGGCGCTCGATTTCTGGGTAGTCTCTGGAGCTGCAAGACAAGGCAACATACCATGATCAGAGGTCTTTCCCATATCTTCCCTTACCCTCCCCACATCCCCTTTTCTGCTGGGAAAGCCCAGGGCTGTCCCCAGGTTTCATCGTGTCACTGCCACCAGCTGCTGGAGACACAGACCTTGCCCAGGACCTCCTTCCTCCCACCCTGGGTGGCTGCAAAGAGCATGAAGGGTCAAACCACAGAGCTGGTTTGACTTCCAGGTTACCCAGGGAGGTAGTAGAAGCCCCAACCCTGGCAGTGTTCAAAGTCAGGTTGGATAAAGCCTTGAGCAATCTGCTCTGGTGGGAGGTGTCCCTGCCCAGGGCGGAGGGTTGGGACTGGATGATCTCTAAGCTCCATTCCAACGCCTCAACATAATATGATTCTATGATTCTACAACTTCAAACCACTTCTCTCCAGTCCCACCTGATATAGGGCGAGTCAGAGCCTCCCAAGAAGAGTGCAGGGCCAGGATATGGCTTGTGGAAGACAGGGAAGTTCATGATATCTGCCAAGTGCTGGGAAATAGCCTCCAAGTTGACTCGCCACACGTAGCGACCCTCCACCTCCACCAGGTTGGTGAGGAGGAACTGTCTCAGCTGCGGGAGCTGCCACAAAAGGGGATTGTGCCGGAGGACGACCGGCCGCGGGTGCGGGCCCTGCCACAAAAGGGGATTGTGCACTCTTCAGTAAGAGCAACAAGCCCTCAGGATGTCCTGGCACCCTCTAGCTCCATCTCCCACACTCTCCATCACCCTGCAGTGGGATTTCCTACCTTGACTATGGGCTGCAGCTGGTCATCAGCCAACTGACGAGCTGCTGAGCGGGTCAGGCCAGCTGGGACCTTCACTGCCTTCATGGCAGAGATGTAGGCAGAGAACTCAGACACAGGGGCAGTTGAGCCAGGACCAATGTCTACAGAGATGAGGCGCTCCACCAGGTCTGGCTGGGGACACAAGCAGGGGACATTGATGCCAGGATCTCCCCAGCGGGAGTGGGTACAGAACTGGAGGCTCTCAGCTCCCTCCTGCCTCAGCAGAGAGCTCTGTGTGCCCTTCCCAGAGTGCCTGTGATTGGCACAGATCTCCAAGCTCCCTTGCAATCCGTGCTGAGGGTGGTGGACACACAATTGCCCCCACAGCCTGGGTTATGGCTCAGAGCGGGACAGCACCCAGCCCTGATGGAGACAAATCCCTGTGGGGCTGGGGGAAAGGCTGGCAGCCCCAGAAGGTGCCATCCCCTTCGT